AACCCCTGTGCTATAAGGGTTAGCTACTGATTACCCCTAAACTTTTTATTAGCATTTTTACCCCTCATCTAAAAATGGAGTTATCTCCCCTAATCTGTATACGTCATATGGGTATCACACTAGTTCAATGTGTTGCAAAGAAATCCCCTGTTCTCTTATAGATGTTGAACCTATGGCTCCTGTAGTGCAAGTACAGATAAAAAAGAGAGGACTCCATTTGTGCATCAGGGTTCTAATAATTCGTAAAAATGTTATGGGGTAGTGAGTGATGGACCTCATATAGTACAGGGAGTGTACCTGCAACTAACCCTATAGGAAACTAATAATTTGAGAGGGTTTCACCAGAGATTCAGGAAGGATATATGTAGGAACACCTATATTATTGTTCATGTAAAGGTAGCACAACAAAGGAGTAAGCATTCGAAATCCTGTTGGACTAAGAAATAACCTATAAGAAGGGGTAGGATGGTGAATTTAGCAACCTGTACCTCTCTCGACTTATGGATAATGGCACATGGCTATTTTGCGTTTATCAATTAACGTTGTACTAGGTATAACTCAACTCTCCTATGCCTTGAATCAATCGCATCTCCCTTCCTTTCAGCACTCTTCCTGGTTTCCAAGCGAAGTCTTGGGACACGTTTCTACATTTTTAGCTTGCCATGCTTGTAGCATAGGTTTTCCTGATTCTTTATATCAATATGCCTGTGTTGTGCCTTGTCATGTCTTTTCCATGTATCCTTTTCCATGCGACAAAGTGTTTGTGGGAAAATTGAAAGAAGACAATTGAGGAATCTGGTTGTATTATTCTTTCTGACAGATTCAGAAAAAGAATTAATTACAATTCTCTCGATACAATTTCTCTCTAACTAGCTTAGAAAAAAAAATTACGATCTTCTTAATCGGATTCCCGATTTAAAAAAGAGAGAAGGATCGACGGAGATCCTTCCCTTTCTTTAATCTGGGTTCTTCACGGTAGCATTGAGATGCCTCCCTCGATGTTCGTGTCGAGTTTGCTTCTTGTTGACGATCCGACCACCTCACTTAGTGGAACATAGTCGATTCCTCTTGATTGACGTTAATGAGAACTTGTGTGGCAAGTTTAAAACTCTGAATGAGTTGAAAACTCTATAAAAGAGTTAATTTGATGTAACCGAAAATCGATTCTCAAGCCAAGGCCGAAAGCTCCAAGATCGGATGATTGAAGAAGCCCTTTCTGATCTCTAGATCCGAAAATGCTCAACGATCACAAGATCCATTCTAAGCTGAATTTTTAGCTTTTTATAGGGGTTAAGGGGTGTAATCGCCCCCTTAATTCTCTTCATAATAGGGTGTAACCGATCCTATTTTTTGGAAAGCGGTTTTGAAACCATTCAAGGGTTTAAGGGGTGTAACCCCCCTAAAATCTCTCCATAATGGGG